AGTTGTCTTCGGGGTACATCCAGAAAAGCTTTTCAATTTACTTGGCCTTTATGCAGAAGCGACAAAGGTTTTTTATCTGGATGAATGGATCATTGACCATTGAGCTGGGAAAAGAATCCACCCCGGAGGAATTGGGCTAAATGTATGTTTCTGTAAACTCTTCGGTGAAGCTGTAATTCAACGAATGTATTCATTTGTTCCGGCGATTTCCACAACTTCTTGTGTGCTCCGATTGGCGTTCAATGGTTTCAATCATAACCCTTCGAATGAATAGAACTAAGACATCCCAATTGCGAGTAATGCGCTCAATTTTTTACTCTCTGTTCAATTCTTGCGTGATAGTGAGCACATTCAATCCAAAAGCGATTATGATACGTATTTCATTTTTCGAATCAAACAGTTTCCGCTATCCATCTGTATTTTGTTTAACGGAGGCAATTAAAGCGACATTTTTATTAACCCTATCAGTGTTGGTATCTGCAAGCTTTGTATATGCTCAACAAACTAAAATAATTGATTTTAAATGAAAATTCATGGCCAATCCAACCGGTACGCTCTTCGACTTTGTAAGTGGCGTCTTCAACCCAGTATTAACCAGCTTCGCTGTTCTGGTAGTTGAGAATCCTGGAAATGACGGCACTCGGCACACTCGAATAATTTTCAACGATTTTTGCTCACACATTGCGATTGATGGAAAACAAAAAGTTACCAAAAGAGCACTAATGTGGTTGCCATGATTTGTCCGCCAGGGTTAAGCTGCTACACACAGACAAATTTGGACAGGGGTCAAGGCAAACTGGTTCACTTTTAATGTTTAATATAACTGTCGCATATCAGGAAGAATGGTTTGCTGTCGGTGGGTAGAAACCGATATATTCCATACATACAGATAGTTGAATCATTCTAGAACCGCACGTGGTTTTCCCTATCAAGTGGTGTTGATGGCGGTAATGGCCAAGTGGTTAAGTCACCAAATTGTGACCTGGAAGTTTCAGTTTTGGGCATTTTCCATGCCGCCCATCTTCCCTATTTTCTGCATTTGCCCAGGCAGCTTTTGTATGGCCGCAACACCCTTCCTGAAAGTTTACTGTACATTTGTATATTCAATAAATAAAAAGAAAGTAAAAGACATTTATTTTTAACCGAAATCATGCTTACAGGGGCGAGAACCCGTGTAATTCCTTTTTTTGTTTGGGCGAAGGGTCCTTAGATCAGTGCAGCCGAATACGATGATCGGACCAATCAATCAAGACCAAACTCTTTAGGTCGTCGATTCGCCCACTTTTCATTGGTCGATCGATTTGCTCATGTGGTTGTCTTTTATTCTGATCAATAACCGATTGTCTTCAAGCTTACGCCGTGTTTGTTATTTTTCACAATCGGAGCTAATGGAAGTTGCATTGAATGAGACAGAAGCTCGAACACATCCATAAGCAAAGTTCCAAACTAGTGACTTTTTAATAACCCGAACGGTGTTTGGTTCTTCCGTTGATCATGGGTGTGTTGTATTTTGAGAATTCACTCTCTTTTTTCTCGCTCTCTTCACGGTCCCGTTTTTCTAGGTGGTCAAATCAGCATAGATGTATTTCCCAAGGGCTGGGACAAACGATACTGTTTACAGTTTCTAACCGATTTTCCAACCATTCACTTCTTTGGTGATAAAACTGCACAGGTGAGTTGATCAAATTATACAATATTCCAATCATTGTTAAGTACAGTCTTTGGTTGAGACAGTGAAACACTTGATCAGGGATTGTAACACTGCGGTATCTAGTCACTACTTGTCCTTTACCACCCTGCGGATTTTTGAATGAATGTCTAGAGCCGTTCTTTTCATAATCCTCGTCATTCACACTGGAGAACATACTCGTCATCCGCTTCTGTGTGTGTATCATATTTCGCTAATATCTTACAAACAACTTGAATCGCACGGTTACCCTAGAAACTCAGTAACATCCAACGAAACAGTTTTCGTTTGTTTCATTAGTTATCTACTTGTAATAACAACGGAGCATCCTGATCTCCAAACAACGATTTAGAATTCATCAGCTGTGGTCAGTTTTGAAATTTATGATCCTGATCCATTTTGCATAACAAACTTGTCTACTTTCAATCGCAAAGTAGTTATCGAAAATTTCGGAAATTTATCCTGCTCGTCGTTTTATCCATGTACCTCCCACGATTGACCGACTCGCCTTGGCGTGCAATACGATTGAGTTGTTTATTTTACGCTATGCATCCGT